AGAAATAAATTGCAATGCAAGTTAACTTACACAACAAGATAAACTACAATAGGTAATATTTCTATGAATATACACATTCTATATAACAAATAAATACAAGATCTTCAATAGTCTCTACACTCCCCCTCAAACTGAGGTTGGTTGAATAATATCAGTTTGTCAATGAGATAGTTATGACGAGCACGAGTCATTGCCTTGGTAAAAATGTCTGCAAGTTGTTGCTATGAGGCAATATGTGGGAGTGCAACTTCTTCAGTTAGGAATTTTTCACGAATAAAATGACAATTAACTTCTATATGCTTTGTGCAGTCATGGAACACTAGATTAGACGCAATGCGTATGACACTCATATTATCAGCATACAATGGCATAAGAGGTCGATGAAGAATATTGAGGTCATGCAAAAGTCCTTTCAATCATGTAATTTCACTGCAAGCTACATTTAGCTTCTGCAGAAGATTTGGACACAGTATGTTGCTTCTTACATTTCTATGATATGAGAGAGTCTCTAATAAATATACACCATCTAGTGGTCGAACGTCAAATATCTGGGCAACCTACTCAATCCGCATCAGCATACTCGTCGCTGAAGAGAAGAATTAGAGTAGAAGAATAAGCCTCTATGGCATGTATCATCCAGATACCGAATGTTACAATGAACAGTCGAGAAGTGGACGCGATGGGGTTCTGCAACAAACTGGCTGATAACCGGTACTGTATGAGATATATCAAGACGAGTCATAGTGAGATAAATTAGACTGTGAACAATTGTCTATAAAGAGGAGAATAATTGTTATACCTGAAGAACAATGGTGCTGAATGGGATGTAGAGATGTCAATTGAAATCAAAAGCGAAAGAAGGGCAAAAGCAATGGTAGAGAGTGATAGGGACGGTTTGGCTTCTCACGACAATAGAAAGAGAGTGTACTGTAATAAAAAAAAAGGTTGATTTGTGAGAAAAAGAACCTGATTGGCCAGAGGATTATTTGATTCATCGAAGAAAAAGAAACTGCATCAAATAAAGAACGAACTCTGATTTTTCGAAAAAAATAGTGGTCAATAACACAATAAAAAAAGAAAGAAATAGAACTCTAATCCTCCACAAGAACAAGAACTATGACCAAGGAACTAATCAAAAAATAGTCAATCTTCGGTAAAACAGACCCAAGCAATGGACATAATCGATTAGTAACTGGTTTGATACCATGTAAAATACACGAAGAGGCAGAGGAAAAATCTCCACTAGGTTGACTATAATCAACATGTATATATAATACAACCAAAGATAACTTTCATAGCAAGAAAAATTACAATAGGTGATATTCCTATGAAATATATATTTTCTATATAACAAATAAATACAAGATCTTTAATAGTCTCTACACTAACACGCATCTATTTTTACAATAGGTAATATTCCTATGAAATATACACTTTCTATATGACAGATAAATACAAGATTTTCAATAGTCTCTACACTAATACGCATCCATTTTTCTTGACAGGGCAGTCTACCGAGTTATCTCCACATACACAACTGCCACAAGAGGAATAGATGCTAGCACAAGAAAAAGGGGGAAAACACTCGATTGCCAACCAAAAGGGATTTGTTGCATCAAACTTTGTAATAGAAAAGCATTTTGGTTGAGTTGGGTGGCAAACATAGGAACCCCTAGTACGTAGCCATTGAGCACATTTGTTGGCAAGGCTTTTAATAAACAATTAGGGCACATCCTATCATTGTGGCCCAAGACTCTTAATGAACAATTAGGGCACATCCTATCATTGCGGCCCGTGAGTCTTTTTATACTTAAAAGGGAATCTAAAAAGTCCATTTTAAGCCTTCGTAGAGAGCTGTTGAACACATCGAGTTTCAAACTTAATATTGTTAAGAATATTAGAGGGCAAAAATTAAGGATGTAGTTTCTATAAAGCCTAGGCTTTACAAAAATAAAATAAAGCCTCACTTCAAATCCTCGTTTAAAAACTATTTTGGGCATAAGAAATGTGGCTCTAAATCAATTTCCACTACCAATTATAAAAATTAAAGCTAAAAAAATGGTTCAAATCTTGGGGTCCATGAACACTTATTTTTTGGACGAAATGGATGGTTCTGATACAACACGCACTATTTTAATGCTTGGAGTCTTTTTTTTTTTCCCACAAATAATTGTACGAGGCCAAGATAGTCGATTTGAAGGGTTTTCCGACGCCAGAACAGCTATTGTTAGTGACTTTTGAGGTAAGGCTTTTTCAAAATTAAACACTAAAAAGTTGAGACATTGCTATTCCTAACTATAAGTATAGAGATGAAAATGAAACACATCAAAGTTCAAACATGTACTAGTTGTCACTGCACCGTTCAAACTTATGGGGCCGCCCGCAAATCTCAAGCACCAACCCCTCGTGCACACCTTAAAAAGATGCCCAATAACTATATTTTTACAATAAGGTTTATTATTCACTCCGCGACAAATGATAAAGCCACTAGGGCCCAAATAAAAAGGCACGTGCGAGAGTTCCATAAGAACACCTTTTTTTTACGGTGATGTTGATGTTAGTTTATTAAAACAATGTAGGCATCGAGGTGGGAGGTGTGCGCACTAACCAAACCCTTTTGTCCCCCATGACTCGCCGTTGAACGGGACAAATACCTAGAATAGCCTTGGGTCTCCATAAACATTGAATATACGGCATGCTCGGTGGGTAGGAGTGGCAATGGATCCAATTAGACTTGGGACCCTATGGATATACCGGATTTTGAACCAAATTATGAATCCGAATATTATTTGGTTTTGGGTTCGGTTCCAGTCGGATCCGTAGTTATAAGGTATATATTATCACAATATTGGCAATATTTACAATATTATTAGCAAAAAAAATGACGCTAATAGTCATAAGGTATATGATGGTAACAAAAGTGGTAGAAAAAAATAAAAAATAAGCTCATAGTCATGAGGTGGCAATGGATCCGACCAAACTTGAGACTCAACGGATCCTGATCCAAGTCTAAAGTTTGGCCCTGAATACTATTCGGGCCCCGGTCCGAGTCCTGGTCCAACCGGTTGCCAACCCTATATGCTTGCCAATCAGGCTAAAGAGGTCTTGAAATTTTTTTTTATCCAACTAATGATCATGAGATTAGTTTTAAAAAAATGTATTTTGGTTTTTTGAATCCTTGAATCTAAATCTTAAAAATCGGAGAGTCCCTATTTAATATTGGAAAAAGTATTTCATGAGAGCAGGACTACATTTCTATATATGTGGTCCAGAGTTTTAAAGCATCGGCCCTTCTAAAAACAATTGAAAGTAATAGTCCAAATATTTTTTTAACAGAATTATTATTTTTAATTTTTAAAATTTATTTATTTTTTCATACTCATGATTTCCATGTTAAAAATTAAATATCCTTAAAATTGTCCAAAAATCCATCTCAAAAATAAATTTTAAGAGGCATCTCATTTTTACATGGACTCATAGAGACCGGGTCCTTAATATTTTGACTATTTCTTTTGTGGACATGGGGCAAATTATTAAATTTTCAATTGCAGTTTGTCAGCTAGGTTACGTCCCCAAATTTTGCGAAAAGCAAAAAAAAGGAAAAAAAAATAAAATGAATTGGAGCATCGTAAAATAGCTTAAACATGATTCCATTCTGCCACAAGAATTCGTGCTCTTGTGGGAGTAGATTGTACGTCTATACGCAAGAGAATGACTCGGTGCAAGAGGATCCTTAAGAATCTAAATCATGGGGATGCAACCGCTTCAACCTAACTAACCTTAAAAGAAAATAAATTTTAAGTCCCACTCCTCAAAAAATAACATTTTAAGATTAAACAAGGACCATTCAAACTCTACATGGTTGCATGCCTCAATAAAATGTCCCTTCCTCCATTGCCCAGGTTAAAATTGGAGTTTAGTGTACCTTATGCTCCCTCTGGAGCATAGTATAGGCTTCCATTTACTTTTCTTTTCGTTAAACGGGTCTGCAATTGTACACACTTCTTGTCGCTAAAGTAGTGTGGTAATTTAGGCTGGCTTTCTATTTTGCAGTTTACTCATCATGAGCAAAGTAGTGATTTAAAAATCGGATCTCAACAGGATGGGGCATCGGTGTAGATTGGTGAATAGGCGATCCGGATCTCTATTTTACTATATGGAAAAAAATAATGGACTAGCGAAAAAACATATGAAAAATAGTGAACCATAAAAAAACCAATATGGATTGGTAAATGGCAGCAAAACGGCATTTTTAGTATACACAAATATTCTAGCAAATCGTCGGCTTTTTTCTAGATTTGGGCGATTTTTTATATATTAACATAATCATCACGAGGTGACCAAATCACAAGTCAAACCATGCGATTCTGTGCCGACCCGGCAATTTTTAAATCCCTAAACCAAATTCAACGTTAGATGTGCTAAATGGCACGATCATCTCCCTCCATTCAATAGAGATGTGTACTGTTGTACTATACCCAGAACATGCATAATATACATTTGACTTATTAAATAAGTTCCCCAACAATAGGAATAGTTGCACAGTAAGTGCACACTCAAAGCTGCCCATTCGTATCTTGTCTGTCTCTCTCTCTCTCTCTAATCATTCTACCCCAAAAAGCAAAAAAAGATGCGAGACCCCCAACCCTTTTTATTACTTATTACCAATCTCCAGCAAGTGGAAGTTTCAACGCCTTTGTTTGCCTCTTTGTTTTATTATCATTTATTTTTAGTCGGGTTTACAGACCGTCATTTGGTGTGACCGTAAGAAAGTTCGGGTAGTCAGTGTGGGTTCGAGTCATGACGGTTTCTAACTCACACTGCGTAGATGGGACCAACAACGGGTTCGGGCCCTAACCCATTTTTACCGATTCACAAATTCTTCTTTAATAATGTAGAAATAAATGTAAAAACTGTACAAATTGACCGATGATGAACCTTTCACAGGCCTCCGGACACTGGATTCTTTCTTAGTATATTTCAAAATGGAACCCACAGTCCCATGGGTAAGTAGAGAGAAGACGCCTTGAAGCCATGTAATCATCAAATGGGCAGAGTGAGAGGCCTTCCTTTTCCTTTTTCTCTCTTGAAAGTAGCTTTAAGATGCCTGCAATTTCAGAAGCCAAAGAACTGATAATTTGGGCCTATTGGCACGGCCGTTAACATGGCGCCGCCCCCAAGACAAGGCCCACGCCTGTGGCCCATGGCCCTCTTGCCATCCTCTTCCTCGAACCCATATACCTAACAAACGGATATTTACCCTTGGTTAATAATACTCTGTTTTCTTACTCTTATTTTTTCTCTCTAAAACGTGGCAAATATTTTTTCTTTAATGTATGGCGATGTAATTTTATTTACCTCTTCGTCGTCGTCTTCATCGTTAGGGTTCTTTGGAATCTCGTCTGTTTCTTCGTTCTTTGCGAATCTACCGCGGACCCTCGGCCTCCGGTCCGCCAGTGTCTTACGACACGCATACTGCGGTTCACAAGATGAAACAGGGGCTTCACCATTTGGGGTTTGAACTAATAATTTCTGAATGAAATTGGATTCTGATTTGAGTTTTTTTGTTTTCAGAAAGAAAGGATGAGTTTACTTTGATCTTCTTGTTGAAATTTCGCTGAGTTCGCTTGTTCCGGTATCGGTTTATCCTCTCCTTCCTCTCTTCAGCACTGTAAGGCCTCACCCTGAAGCCTATATCCTCCACTCCTTGATTCTCCTGAGCCGAAGGGCTCATTTGCATTCTGTTGATTCTCTATTCGACCCGAAAAGCAGAATCATACCATAAATTTTTGAGGAACAAATCAGGTAGCCAGTATGACACAAGTCACAATAATGAAAATCCATTGAAACAGATTTTCTTTTGTAGCAATAAAATAGAGCCTTCACAGAAGGAGAGAAATGAAAGAAGAATAAAATACAGGTAAAGCCCCCAAATTCCTCACCTGTATATCCCCTGCACTGCAAACCCTTCTCATGGATGAACCACCAAGCCCAGGCTTCCCTTTCATCTCGAACACATGAGGCAATTCAAACACAGAGGACAATTGGGGACGGAACAAACCCACTTGACGATGCTGATGCTGTGCGCTCAATTGCCCAAGAGACTGACTACTCATGCTCCTCTGCATAAACCCATTTGATCTCGGAACAGAAGTAGGAGCCATGCCACCTAACAACTTCTCATCTTTCACTCCAATGCAACCTCCCATGTCACTACCGCACCCGTTGCCCGGAGCAAAATCTCGAGGGAGGCTCGAGCCAAGATGCACCGGTGGTGCTAGTTCCTCAACCGGTTCGAGAGAGAGGCCATCCAATTGGGAAGTGGCCTGGTCATCAGAGAGCACAGCATCGAGAATTTCGAAGTTGGGGTCAGCTGGAATGGCAAAGAGAGGATCAGAGAAGATGTCAAGGTGTATATCAGACGGTTCCGGCGAGCATCGCAGGTATAGGGATTCGTCAAGGAGGAAGAGGTCGCCCTGAGCTGCCATTGAAAGAGAGTGAAGAAAGATGAGGGGAAAGGGACCTCCTTGTCTGGTTTTATGAGGGGGAAGGTGCATAGACACTCGATGTGTTCATGTGAAGAAGACACCGAAGAGCAAAAAGTTACTCAGCTGGAGGATGACGTGGAGAATGACGTCATTGGATAATTTGTCCAGAAGCTGGAGCGGCAGCCGTGAAGCCACCAGCGCGCCCTCTGCTGGGTCCCACCGTGGGCCACCGGCTGCTTCGCTAGCTGTGTCTCCTCTTTTTCTAAACCTGTCCCTATCGCTCTATGAATATACAAATTTCTAGCCAAATAATAGAAATTAGTTTATAATTTTCTATTTAAAATTACATTATTCCTATTTTGATTACTATCTGTATGGATAAAATTAGAACGAATAAATAAATAAGGAGAGCAAAAAATATAATGATAATAATAACAAGAAAGAGAAAGATTCATAATTTTATTACTATCTACATGAATAAAATTGGAATGAATGAATAAAAAAAGCAGAGAAAATATAATAAATAGTAATAAATAGGAGAGAACAAATGAGAGACAAGAGAGAGAGAAATTAAGGAAGTCTACAATAAGTTAAGTGAGAGAAGAGCTTAGTTGTTCCTTCTCCAACAATTAAAGAAAGAGTTGGGATTAGCCCACTAGAATATATGAGTCAGCCCAAATTGAATCTGGGCAGATCTGATGGTCACGACTTCATTTTGTGTTTGATTTTTAATGTTTTTTCTGCAAATCCAAATCATTTGAAATTTTAGGTATGTGTTCTTCTCATCAAGGCACACCTAATAAAAATATAAAAAACATATTTACAAAAAATAAAATGATTAAAATACCCCCATAACTTTTGGGGGTATTTTGATCAACTTATTTCTTGTAAAATATTTTTTTGATATTTTTAGAAGATTTAAAAAACATTTATGAACGTACTCTTAAAATTTCAAGTGATTTAGATTTGTAGAAAAACCATTAAAAATCAAACACTATTGGACATCTGTGACCGTTAGATCGGCCCATATTCAATCTAGACTGTTGGGCTCATATGTTCATATGAGCTAGTGGGTTTATCCCAACTTCTTCTGTATAGGAAAAAGCTGGGGTTAGCCCACTAGCTCATATGAATATATGAGCCCAACGGCCTAG